CAACTATTATTGTGGCGCCACGCTGGACATGCTCAATGAGGGTGACATCTTTCGGGCGTCTTGAGTGGACAACTTGGTTGGCACACTACAGGAGCGGTCCGACGTGGGCCCCATAGAGTATTTGGAAGTCCATGCGAGTAATACGGGAAAAGGTACGCTGGATCATCCGTAGAAGGACGAATGCCTTTTGGGCTGATTCCTCATCGTGCAGTAAGAAGGACCAGTTTGAAGAGACCCAGATACCCAAATCTTTTTGGCATCTATCTATCCGATGTTTTCTGATCCTTTCTCACCGTGCATAAAAAAGGCATTCGCTGAGTCTCCTCCAAATGACATATGGACGCACCTTTCATCCTTCAGAGGAAGGTGCCAGTCCAACGACTACCGCTTTGCAGCGTATACATCCATTTGGGAGGGCACTGGAACTGGAACCCCGGGATTACAAGTCGTCCGCAAAGAGTAGACATGAACTTGCAAGAACATCTGGAAGGTCGTTGACGAGGCTCAGAAAGAGCACTGGTATCAGGACGGAGACTCGAGGAACTGAAATGGAGACCGGCGCTGGAGAAGAGTAGGTAGAGCCTATTCTCACTTGGAATTATCTGTCTGATAGGAAGGCCTTGGATCAGTGAAGGATCTCCCCTTGAATCCCGCAGGACTTGAGTGTGTGGAGCAGCTGGAAGTGTGAGACCTTATCAGATGCTTTTCAGAAGTCGAAAAATATGGCATCCGATATGAGTCCTTCGTCCTTGGTTTGGGTTAAGTTGTCCATTAACACGAGCATGTTTGTCACGCAAAGACGGTTTGGGAAAAATCCGTGCCAAGCTGGAGATATCAGGTTGCTGGAAGTAAGGTGATCTGGGGTAGCTCGCTTCAGAATGCGTTCCATCACCTTGCACGGCACGCTAGTGAGGTTTATAGGCCTGCAGCTGCCAGGCGATAGTCGGTCACCAGTTTTGTAGATTGGCGTGACAACTGCTTCCTTCCAAGCAGATGGGAGGCGGCCTTCGTCAAGCGACTGACGAAACACCAGGTGTAAATGATTTGCCAGTGTAGACGACGACCAGGTGTAATGATTTGCCAGTGTAGACGACGTTTCCGTCGGGATCTCTGTATGAACCTCATCGGGTCCCAACGCGCAGAATGGGTTGATCTTGTGGAAGGGTTGATGGATGTCCCCCACAATTAAGACCAAGTCGGTTAGAGGCTGTTCGTGATTACGCCTTGACAAGAGCGGATGTGACGAGGACGCTAAGGCTGAATATTGTTCTGTGTACCTGTCCTCTGTATACCTCAGATACAACTGTTTGGTCACTTGTAGGTTCTTTGTTCCTGTCCCTCATAAAGAACGCGGTTGGCGTGTTTCTGCGGCAATGTCTCATGTATTTGAACAATACTTTTTGTTTTCCTATCGAGATCTAGGGTGGTGTCTCGCTGTCGTATGTTCCATTTGTGGATTTCTGATCTACAGCGGTTCCGAATTTTACGGAATGCTAGCTCATATCGTGTATCCCCTGTAGTAGACTTTTTGAAAAAAGTTGGGACCCTTTTTCCAGAAGTCGCCGAATCCTTTTCGGCAGCCTGCGGCTCATCCCAGCGCGTCCTGGCTTTTTTGATAGAAACATCGCGTCAGCCTCGTGAACATCCTGGACAATGGTACTTTATAATTTTTCCCGGTGTAGCTTGTTCAAGAAAGATGCGCATTCCTGAAAAGTCTGCACGGCAGAAGTTTCGAAACCACGTTTGAGGTTCGGGATTTCTGGGGATGCTTCCGGCTTGCAAGCTTTTTTCGCCCTTGCGAGCCCGGTTTTTACGGGCTTTTAGCTTTATGGGACGGAGTTTTCCCCCAGGAGCGAAACTTTCGACGATTGATGCTTGTAGCTGTTTCAGCACCGTCTTTTTGGCGACCAGATTTGCTGTTGATCAGAGATCTGCAGCAAACTTTCACCTTCCTGGATTCTTGAGTGTTTTGGCGCGGTTTGACCGGAAAAGTGTTTCTGTGAGGCTCCGAGCGCTGAGCGGCGGGACCGAAAAGTAATGCTCTTGGTGGCGCTCCCAGGAGGCTCATTTTTGCGGAGGACTGCACCTTGAAGCCAGCCAGTCGTTTTTTATCTGGCGAATCTTATGTGGCTTGTTTGGCTGCATTCGCTTTTCTTTCGTGTTTTTGTGGACACGCGATCCGTCAGCGATCAGCGAAATCAACTGGATGTTCGAGAGATTTTCCGCTTGGCTGTAGTCAACTGGCCTAGGCTGTTGGGGTCCTGGTTGACGGTTATGTCCACAAGCAAAGGCTGCTTCTGACGGAGTGGAGGTATGGATTGACTTCACTGCTTGTCCACGCACATCTGACTCAGTCTAGTTCAGCGGCTGTGTCTTTGGTGGGGAATTCATGGCTGCACCTGTGTCGTCTGTTACGGAGATAATTGTTGCTAGCACCACGTATTTTAGGCGGTGCTTGCATGTAGGGTTTGCCTCCCGAGGGCACAATTGCCTTTGGTAGACGAGGGGTTTGTGGTGGTCGAATAAAAACCACTGCCCGGAGACGCGGCCGGTTTCGCCGGCATGCTTTCGGGGGCACAAGTGCTATGATCAAGATCGGCTTGGCCATGAGTTTGGGGTCGGCCAGACTGGCACCAAGCAGAAGCCTGTTTCTTGCCTCTACCCCTGGTCTGCTGTGACCCAGCTTTGGCGCCTCCAGAGGACGAGCCTCAGATAGACGCTTGATCATTGGGTAGGCCTTCTGAATGCTGCCAGCCCGCTCCAAGATCTTTCGTACAGCAGATGGGGAGGGAAGAGTGACTAGGAGCCCTAGTGTTTTGCTTGCTTCCATTCTGGCGTAACCATTCTGCGTGAAGCGATTGGAGATCGGGCCTAGTGAAGACATTGCTAAGGACTGACTGTGCCAGCTTCACTGGCGTGATTTTTCTGGAGGATGACCCCAGATTATTGATTCGCTCTCCCTTAAGCGCTCTTTTCACTAGAGACGCTGTGGCGGTCTTTATAACCGCGTCAAAAAGCTGTATGACTTTCCTCGCAGCCAGCGCACCCGGTATGGATAGCGCGACGTTCTCATTTAACGAAGAAAGTTCTTCAGCAGCTTTCGTCCATGTTGCTGCATTCCCTGTGTTTGAATCCTCCAGTGCTCTAGAAAGAAGATCCAAGTTTGTGTCGATTATCCTGATCCGAGCAGAACACTCACACCAGTCTTTCCGTTTCTGAGATGGGGATTGAGTACCGTCTTTGGGGGCTCTCTTCTTGGCCGTGGTATGAACTGCACCCTTAATGTAGAGGCAGCTGGCTCAGACAAACGGGTCAGGAGAGTCAGCTAATCGGCTTATCTGGTCGTCCTGTCAACCCGCGCACTTGAAGTGCCACCAGGCCGTGAAGCTGTGGCACTGCGTACCGCGTTTTTCGTTCGACGTGCAGCCATCTCGCCCACAGCTGTTGTGGTCTATCGGTGGCTGCAGGGGGCAATCGGTATAAACCGATGTCAAAGTTAAGACTAGATGCAAAATACATGGTGAGCGCGAAATAACAGAGGTTATCTCTTAAAAGTTATTCTAGAGCGATAACATTCAACAGTGACTCGTGTGTATGCTGTGTGTAGATTGATAAGCGAAAAATTCCTTCACAAATTTGCACGGGGAAAAAGGAATCTGATTTCAAACGTACTGTGCTACCGCATAGAGGTTAGAATATTTAGACACTCTCAGTCGAGTTTGAGTTCAAGGTTTCGACGGGGTCCCTGAAGGGTAAAATTCGGCTTCCTGTCTTAGTGTTTCCGAGAGCTACTTTTGGTTTGAAGGGGGTTTGTCCCCTGAGAGTAAGTTTTGTGCCGGCAATCTGCTTTTCGATACAAACGTTTCCTCATCATGGCTCAAAAATTCGACTGTCGTTGGTTTTAGGTCTAGCACTATACATTTTTTGAACTTCTGAAATCGTTGTTGTTCAAGAACCAGGGGTGCACCAGATGCTTCCTGGCGTTGTTTTACTGGCAAGGTGCTTTGGGCCGTTTGTATGTGATGGCACAGCCAAAAACGCCCTTTCGCATAGGACTGAACCTCAAATTTACCAAACAGCTTTTCCTATGGACGAAGTTTGCGTAGCCTATTGGACCGCAATCGAGTTCCTTTTGTGTGTGTGTGTGCCAGATTTGAGCAGAAACTTCAATCTGGATTCGCAGCCGGTTCCATCCGCTTGCTGTTAATAGCTAATAATAATAGCTAATAATGTTAATAACTAGCATCGGGTTGGCCTGAAGTTTAGAGTTGCCGATCTGTCGCAAAGCGGAAGCTTTTCTATCACATCGTCTCTATGCTGCTACCCGGATAAACGTTTGATAGTCTGGAAGGCCTTTTAAATACTGCAGCCCACTCTAAGATCCTCCGTGCAGCAGTTAGGGAGAGGTGTATCCATCAAATCGGCCATGTATAGTTTGTTTTATAGCAGTTTCATCCTAACGGAGGATAGCGGTGTAGACAACATCTCGAATACTCCGAAAAACATTTTATGCGAAGTCCAAGGCAATTCGTTTGCTGGAAGATGGGTTGCACAAAACTGGTTGCCTTTCATGTGAATGGCAGCCGCTGAGTGACAAGAAAAAACAACCTGGGAGACTTGAACAAAAGCTCCCACCTGCGTATCAATCCGTGGGTTCAAATGTTCGGTTGCCTCCCGTTCCGCACATCCACTCTGCGCGGATTAATTCGTGTTCAAGCCCTTCTGCCCGTTTTGTTGGCCTGCTTTCTCTAGAGAACGACCCCTGGATGATTAGCCTGGACTTCCTCATGCACCCGTACTCTAGAGACGCCGTGACGGTCTTGATTGACGACCTCTTACTTGTACAGATTCCAGGGGTCAAAAATGAGGAACTAATATCACACCGGAGCCAATCACTTATCGCCACCACTAAACCAATTTCCCCGTCACCCAAAATAGGTCACTACGAACTGAACTTGTGACCCGAACTGAGCTATCACTGGCGGTTAACCAATCACCAGGTAAGATCCAGCTTGGTCCGGTGCCGGCAGTCCATGAGGCTTTCATGATGCAGGAGCGCAACTTAAAGATCCTGCGCGCCATGGTTGCGCATGAGGAGAACAGATTCTGTTTTGATTGCCACCAGAGAGGACCAACGTATGTCAACATCACCGTAGGTTCTTTTGTTTGCACCACATGCGGAGGAGCGTTGTAAGTTTTGTCTCTCACCCTTTCGACTCTGTAGACGAAAGTATAATCACCGAGTTAAATCTATATCGATGTCCAACTTCTCACAGTCAGAAATGGATTTCTTACGCAAACGCGGAAATAAGGTCTGGCTGCCCATGTAAATTACATTCTCTCAGGCATGCAGAAAAATATATTTGGCGCTGAGTGACGATCAGGGATTCGTGGAGAAGGAACTAGGAGATGCTGCTCGTGATGAGTATCTGCGGCAAAAGTATCAGATGCAGAAGTGGTAAGTTCCCCTCTTTCGATGGGTTACTAGTTTTCACATCGGACCCCTAGTGTGCGCTCATAAGTGGCTATTCCTAGTGGCCACCTAACCGCTGCTTAGGGCCTCTAGTCCAAAGTGTTTCTTACTCTTCTTCCAAATCACTCAGTGTAGTCCTCGACTGACTCATGTTGTAAAAATGTTTATCAGGTGTCAGGCCGGTCTGAATGCGTCATAATTGTTGGTAGGACTGTTCTAAATCGTAATACAGGGCCCTTTTGATTTGTTACGGCATCCCTCTATAATCTGTAATCGTGGTCACAGTCGAAGCTTCCCGGTCAGAAACACTTGATGGCTGGCGCACAAGAAAAAGATCCCTTGGCTGTTCTATGTGATCCTTCTTCCTAATCAGCCACAGGTGAGCCTTCGCTGGACTCATTCAGCCGCGTTCAACTTATTCCCGCACACGGACGACACTGCCTGTGTTTTCCTAAGTTAGACAAGCTCAAGTGGACATCCGTGGAACGAATACTTTTCAGCCTGACGTCTCGCGTCTCTTAGTGTGTGTGCTAGCGTTATACGTGACTTATTCTTGTATTATCGACTGACGTCGACCTGACTGAGAAGAACAACTGAATACCACAGAGACAACATTACCGCAATCCAGCCGACTAACTGCGTCCAGCTCAAGGACTATGCGACTGTAACACCTTACAAACCTGGCGTCATTGCCCCCGAGTCCTTGGACATCCGGAGGGTGAAATGTAAAAAGGCAGTTTGTGTCGGGAGGTGTGTGACGTAAAACTACGTTAGAGTTTTGTATGCGTGTATCACAGGCATAAAATGCGTCAACATTTTGAGAAATTATAACATGAGAGATTTCAATCCCACCAACGCTTATTTGTGGTTGGTTCACGGATCTTTGGGGATGAGTGGTGCCTCCAAGTTCACCGCACCAAAGGAAGTCGTTTTGGGGCTGGACCGGACAACTCAGTGGGCGAGTGGTGGGTTCTTTTAAGGGGTTCTATTCCTAGCTTTCGAACTACAATACAGTTCCAAATAGCTCAACGGTGGGAAACTCAGGTTGAACTCAACCTGGACATCTCCATTGCTTGTCCGTCTCGATGATTTAGGCAACAGTATGAAATCAGTGTTCAATAGTGATGCTTTGCAGTCGTACAACTGATTTATTTGAAGGCCTTATTGCGGAGAAAAAAGTGCACTGGAAGGGACTTATTGTTAGCTTACTGCAATCGTTCGGAGGTGCGTACACCTCCGTACACTCATTCAAGTAATCTGGGAGAACAAGAAAGGTATCGACATTGATTCGCAGCCATATCGTGCAACGTGTCTCACTCCAGGCACGACGGGGGTCACTCGGTCCTGGAAGACGTGTAGCACCGACAACACTCAAACGTTTTGTAATCTCCTCCATACCCCTCTGCCAGATCAATGATTTGCCACTTCTCTGATCCCGTTACTCTGAATGGGGCATGGTAAACGGCACTTTTCGGCAAGTGATGGTTTGGCATGCGCAATACATTGCCTGACCAACGCAGCTCCTGGTGCCGGACACATTTCCTCAGAATTTATTTGATTTCTGGAATACTTCGCGCGTGTTGTAACACAGATAATATCTTCCCTTACATTACGATACCTCTGTTGGGCTCACGAGACGCAAGACCGAGAGCAGCAAGCAGGATTTCGACCTCACGGCAATTGCGTTGGTCATATCTTAAGAATATGTCGGCCATAACCGCCCCACACCTACCGGTAACTGACATTCACAGCTTTTCTCGATTTTGGAGCAGCCTTTGATTCTGTGGATAGATCAGGTTTCCTAATTATTTTTGGTGAGATGAGGGTGACCTTGACGTTCGTGAACTTTTTTCGTTTCTTTAATTCTTTTGACTCCGGTCGGATTAGGGTATACATAGAACTGTCCCGAAGTGTCCTAACAGCTAGAGTTAGTTGGTATATCCCCCTCTCCTCTCGTCCATTTCGTCATCGATGATGGAATACACACCAAGGAACAACGGGTCTAGTTATTCCAATCACGTCTGGAGAGAGGTTAATGTAGAGTACATCCTTTTGTTTCTTGGAGATTATTTGTCCGCGCGAAGTCCTTTAGTCAGTGTAGGAGGTGGTCCCATTTTTGGAATGTGCTTCGAACCTTCACTATGCAGAGTTTTACTTCGAGATTTCTGATCCTCTTGTGCTTCTCGTGAAATTGAGTGTGTTGGCAACTGCATACTCTATGGTTGTTTAGTAACATGAAGCAGATGCGCGAATAATCAAGACGCGAGTAGCGTTCGCCAACTTGCGTCATTCATAGCGTCAGGAGCCAATTCAGCTGAGGCTAAAGGGCCATGTATATGAAACAACTTTGAGAGCAGTTCTACTCCATTGTTAGGATTTGGCCCTTCCCATCCGTAAATGTTGGGCATCTTCAAGCGTTTGGTCACCAGTGTCTATTTGTTGTACAAATTATGTGGCTGAAGCGGCTCCGCAACGAGGTGGTGCAGTAGATTAAATTTGTCAGCTTGAGGTGGTTGGGGCATAGTTTACGTATACACAACCACCGTTTTCCGAAGAAAGTGTTGTTTTCCAAGCGACTGTTGACCGAAGGTTCGCACGGGGCAGTTCATAACATGAGAACGTGAGGTGAAACCGGCCACAGTTAAGCCAGATGCTGTGTTGTCCCATGCCCTGGCAGTATTCCAGTCCACACACAACCATTGATTTCACACTTATAAATAATCTCATGCCACATATACCGTCTCGTATTGCCATCAGCCTGGCTGCCTTATTACTGGTATATAGCAGGGAGGGGGTAGGGAATAGCAGATTACTGTTGACGCCTCGCTTCTTCCTTTCACATGTTGGTTCTGTTTTCCTGCCTCACCACATTGCTAGCGACATCTTCGTAGGGCCTTTCTTGAGGAATGACATCCGTTAGTCCTCAATAGCTGTTAGCTGCAATATCTATGATTAATTTGGCCGCCACTACCGTAGGCACCTCGAAGTCATTCTTCAGCTCCAGATGCTCGGTTCACCTGGCGACCCTTAATGCTTGCACTGTGAAACAAGCTGGACGATAGTCTGTTTTTCTTGTTCGCCAGACTCGCTTTCCACCGATTTGTGCTCTCCTAAAACAAGGATTCATGACCCAAATACGATTTTTGAACATGCTTGTCTACCGGTTTCGTTTCTGATTGCGAACCTCTGGTGACCCGGAAACCACCGTAAATGGTTCTTCTGAGTTTGGTATTGAGCTGTAAGTCGTTGGATATCAAATGATAGCTACTCATGCGTGGTTCGTTTTGCAACGTCTGAGAGTGTCCATCAAACGCGCTGATGAACACTACTTTTTCATTGAATCTGCTTAGTCTTAGACAAACTGTAGCTCTTATCCTATCAAAGACAAATGTTTTACCTCGATTAGAGCGCTTCATCACGGCAGAGCAGGAGCTCAGATGTGGCTAACGAAGATACGAATATGCAGGTAGGTAGACTTGGCGTTGCTAAGGCTCAGTAGGGTGATCGTCTTGAGTTGAAATCGAGGCGCATCTACGTCTTATACGTCTCATACGCTAATTACGGGCTAATAATGTGCTGTACTAACTTTAAAAAAAACGAATGCCACTTAGCCGCACGGTTCATCCCAAATATGAGCTAACCCCAAACACAGTCAGACCACATCGTCATCAGCGATAGGTGACATGGATCAATTACTGATTGCTTTCGTACTGGAACACATCGTACTGAACCCAGCCTCATCGTCTTGACTGCTCGTGTCTAGGCTTGGGCAACCTGGCAGTATCCCAGCCCTCGTACCTTCTTCCGTTGACACGGCAGTTCGGCAACGGAAGGGCGCTACAGCCGAACGATTATTTGTTCCTAATCTTTTTCAGACAGTCTACTTTCTGGTGTTTATTTTTACTGGGAAGTAATATCTTCAACCGTGTAAGATGTCGGCTGTTCTGCTTGCAACGACGCAACTAACTGTATTTAAACATCGGAACTCCAAATTTGTCCGAGGCTTGGATAAGTGTTCTTACTGATCGAAATTAGAATAAAGCTCGTCGAATTGTCAGAAATCAAGTAAAAAGGAGTACGCGGATCGAGAAGTTTGGTGGTTCCAGACCGCTGAAGAGATAGAGATAACAGTGAACGTTGGTAATGTTCGAAGACTGTTCAAAGTGATACGTACAAGTTTCGAAATAATCAACGCTAAAACGTACACGCCGTCTCTGAAAAAGAAGAGTTTGAATTGTGCGGCTGTATTTTTTAGCGACAATTCAGCCGGTTACGTGCGGCTGATCGATTGGATTCCCGGCGCTCAATGGAGCCCTTGACCTCGAACCCGAAACTTCTGGTGACTTCTATAATACGCGGCTACCTTTTCTTCACTAATCACTATCGAGCTGCTGGTAATAATAAACTCTCCTCCATCTTGTTTAGGAATAAAAGCGAGGCCCTAAGTTCGCGCTTGTGTAACTTATGTGCCTCTGTCTTTGTGAAAGAGGCCGTCGAAGTCTACTGTGATGAGTCTATAGTAACTTCCGTTTCCAAGAACAATTGTCGTACTGAATGTGGCAGTCGTAGAGGCGGTAGCTCGTCCCCGTTGTAATTGAGTTCCGCATTGCTTATTTCACATCTTCTCGTGAGATGACATGAAGACGTGACGCGGGAACAACAGTTATATCAACATTTAAGGAATGGTGCGCGGATCAGACTTCGACCGCAACTGCGATATCGGAACAGAATTCAGGTGACTTCCATCAACGGCGTTTCTGAGTTCATATCATGGGAGAATCTGGCACTTGACAGGGACAGCTGGTTAAAGTCATACACACAGGTGTGGTGCGTTTCGTGGTTAAGGGCCACAGTATTTAAATATGAGCGATCCATTCGTAAGCGACGAGCGTACCACCCTGGCATACACCTTAATGTGCATCCGACCTGCCACAGAACGTCGGCGTGTGAGTTGAAGCAAATTCACTCCAGTTCTTAACAGATATATAACCATACGCCGAAGGCACTTCTACCGATTGTTCCCCCTTGTAAGCGGAGCCTGTTCTTCACAAGCAGGTCGGTTTCGTCAAGTAGAGCCTTTGAGCTTAACCGTTGTCGAAGTGCCTGTCCACTTTTTTTTATAGGATACAGGTTTTGGGTTTCTTTGAGAGTTCCATCTAAAGAATTTAGGCGCCCAGCAGCGGGACAAATTACTTAGTCTACAAGGAACTAGGTTATTTTGTTGGGGTGGAGAGCAAACTGCAATTCACCGGAGAAGTCATATTCAACGAAGAAAACTGTGTCAACTGTGTTCATCGCTTTCCGTTTGTTTATCTGCTAAATATTCTGTCTTGTTTAACAGGGGTGCAAGACAAGTACCGCCATATTCATTCAGCAAATCTCTTAATAAAGATAACGCTAATTGACCATTGTTATTCATACGCCCTGATATTCCGTAGGTCAGTAGACCTCCTTTCTTCATATACCTTCATATCAGTCAGTGGTTAGTCCAGCGGAACAGAGAAAGCTATACAAGTTCTGCTCAAAGTGTCCCCCTCCCCCAAAACAACATTTTGTTTCCCCAGTTGATCTATCTCTCACGCCTATGTCACATAGCTTGATATGTATGTGAAAAGGAGGCCCCAAAAGTTAGGATGGGAATTCGCAACTTCACTGCGTTCTATTCAACACCATATCAACAGGCCAAATTAACCCAGCGTTCTCAACCTGTCGGTCCTATTCAGGGAGGTCGGAGCCATCTTGCCTCCATGTGCTTCCGATGGGAGTAAAATATCAATAAGTAAATAGTCGTTCAGTTGTAACATCCTTTGGGTGCCTAGCTGCCACCGGAACGAAGCATGAGGGTTGGGATACTGCCAGGTTGCACAAGCTTAGACAAGATGGGAAAACTTCCTAGAAGACGGTGATTGAGAATTTAGGGAACGTGCCTTAAGCATTTGGTCTTTTGAATTGTACTTGTGCTTCGTGATCTGTCGAGCCGCTCCAGTCTATACACATGTCGATGAATGTTCTTCATCATTACATGATTGTCCCTCCATGAGTAGGCATTGGTGATTGGGGACGAGCAGGCTTTGAATGCCTTCCCTTCAGGAAGACCAGGCTTCACACTCGTAGGAGAAAACTGAGCATCCTTGGAGTTGCACGCCGATGTCACGACGGACCAGTGTTGTTTTAAGCTGTCGAGCGCACAATGCGTATCACTTATGTGCTTCAGTGATTCTGTCAGGTCCTGTCAGTTATGTTAAATCGTTTCGCACTCTGGGTGTGGAGTGCACACCAGGTTTTGGAGAGTTTTCTGTGTGAATTCAATGGTGTCGGGGTCCAGAATAGCATCTACAGGCCGTCGCATGGTGCCATCAACCGAGTCACCTTACATGGTGCGTACAAGAGGGTGTGTAGACGAAAACAGGCTACCAATGACGCTCCTCTTCTTTTCCTTCCACGTATTTCGCCCTTCACTCACTGTACCAACAATACATTCCTTGTAGGCTAATCCGTTAGGAGTAAGAAGCTCGTTCGTCTTGCACCGACTTCAGTCGCGACGGTATCAGGCATATCGAACCTAACCGACCCTCGATGCTCGGTTTTTGTGGCCACTTCGAACCAAGAGGTACAACGGACTGCTCTTGCTCGTACATCGGACTCACTTGAAATTGTCATGTGCTTCGTATCGGAGGCACTGACTCAGGATCTAAGCTTAATTGTTGAGCTAGCAGCTTCATCAGAGAGGGACCATCTTGTTTCCTCTTGATTCCTCTCTTGGTATCCCTTGTGTTTCACTGTTTCATGATGCCCGTGAAGCATTGGCTCGAGAGAAGCAATAGGGATTTCAGCCTGGTAAGAGTTGCGTTGACCAGTCTTCATCAGATGCTAGAACAACACCATTCCTGTAGACCAACCACTGCTTTGGTATCTTTGGGTTTTCGAGGCATGTTTGACTGTTGGTCAATATGTTCTCTTCAATACTTTTGTTCAACGTGGAATGCTGTCTATCATGAAAGCTTTTTGCATCCCCACATTTACCGAAATGTGAGGTTATACAGGGCCTCTCCAAAATCGTTCGCATAAAACGTGGCGTCCGACTATAATACCCACTCTCTCCATTCCGATTTGGCTTGATGATTGACGGGCTGATGAGATGAACACTACAAAGTCTTCAAAACCCTGCATTCAGGTAGCTGCTGACGAAACGTCACTGATGTTGAATATGCAGACGACATTGTTCTCTGTTTTTGATGCGGGAAACAAGACTAGTGTTTTTGAATGAACCTACCATAGTTCTCTGGCATCGTTTGGCCTGTGTCTTGCTTCCACGGAGTGTTAAACCATACTCTTGAGCATGCAATCATGTTCATAATCTAGATTTATTACTCAGCGCTCCATTTATTTGTCCAGGTTATTCAATCGCTGGTCGTCTTTCGTTTGTGGTTAGACTGACAGGGTTGCCTTACTACAGGTAGTACCAGCTCCCTTTCAGCAGCTCGTTGCGTTTCAAGAACCTTTTTTGAGTTCCTTTTCCCATTGTTTGTGGATGCCATTTTGGTCACTGTCAGCCGGGTTGTCTTTTCCCATGCCATTTTGGTCACTGTCAGCCGGGTTGCATTGGTTAGTTTCAGGTGTCTTGGGTGAACGGAGAGAGGTATACTGTCTACACTTTTTACTCAACCATATCACAATGAATGCAACTGAGTGAACTACACTATGGTCGTTCGACCATTGGTCCAAAACAGTTCCGGATTAAGGTAGTAGCAAAGTTAACTCGCAGACGTACCTCTGTGTGACTCTTAACCTTCGTAATTGCATAAAATGGATTCACTGGCTACGATGTTCATGTTCATTGAAGGTCACCGAAGTCTTCGACTGCACGAAAGTATCATTGGAATCAATGTCTCAGAGTGATCGAAAGTTTTAAATTTTACCCTTAGTACGGAGGTATAAGTAGATTTTCCCAGGAAACCGACGCATCTGTGTACAGTAGCACCAGGAGTCAAATGGCTGCACCCTATTGCCCGCCATATTTCCCCGCCTCCATAGGTCAGTGGCACTGATTTAAATTATGCGCTATTGGCACAGTCTTTAGGAGGGCTTAGTCTCTCGCTGCACGCGTGTTATAGTTTCGACTGAGAAGCTGTGAAAATAAAAATCGTTCATCCGGTGTCTAGCTGCCATGTCACCTGGAAGAAGCAGGAGGGCGTAGATACTGCCAGGTTGCCCAGGCCTAGACAGGAGAAGTCGAGAGATGGAGGTCGGGTTCGAAACACGGACCCTCTTCCGGCCAGTAAATTCGCGCTTTAACCATTTGAGAGCTGCGAACGAATCTCCGAATTTTCATAAAGGTAACTACGCACAAGACTGCTGGAAACTTTTCGACAACTGAGTGTATTTGTCGACGTCTATCCAATTCGGTTTATAGTAGAATATAAGGTAGACGGGAACTTGGGGTCTGCGCCTCACTGATAAGCCCCAATAAGGGCAAAACCGGTCGTGGGCTATCGAAAGGTTTCCAGAAACCCGGTGAAAATATGAAAATATATGAAAATATACTGCGATGTCTTAAATATCGTACGAACTGAAGCATGAGGGACCCTGTATGCAGCACATTCAGTTGAAGAATATCGTAAACGAGGGATCCAGTTGAGTCTCCAATAAAAATCACATTGATATACAATTAACTGTACTCATCGAAAGCTATGGATTCTTCCGCTGCGTTGTTCGACATTTCGTGACCTAATCGGAAAACAGAACTTCTTCCGGCTAAACAATCTGGAAGCTTTACCATCACAGCTCTCCGCTGATTTTTTGGATAGCCATCAGCAACGCATTGGTGTCCATCAGTAACTTCACCTATTGTCCTGTTTTTAGTCGTTTTTATCATTTACTATGTATCGGAAACGTTAGTGATGTCTGTGTAAAACATTCGCATATATGCTGGTTCCGTCATCTGTCGAATTTCAGGTACCGTGAGCCAACCGTAGATCTGGATACCGAGGCAATTCAAGAAAATCAGCAAATATTAGATAGAATCGACCAGGGGGGATCACAACAAAAATGCTCGCGTAATCCACCGACGAACGCCGCTGCTGGTCTGTTACTGCCTTCACGACAGGCTTCGGTGTCGAGCAGCAGCATAGGCAGTACGTCATCCGCCTCCCTAGGCCCTCCTGTTTCTGCAAACGGATTACAGACGGTCAGTTGTGTTTTCTTGGTTGCATTTAATATCACTTCTACCAGTGATTCTTTCTGTACAGTGCATTTTTGTACCAATTTCGCTAACTGAACGAACATGAGTTCACTGACTGAGTAGACATTCATCCCCACCATGTTTTTGGCTGAGGCCAGTTGTTTGGCGGCAATTGGATATCCTCCCGAAGCTGACGCCTTATCCTGGTAGCAAACTGTGTGTAGCTTGGTGTCCACTCAATTTTATCTGGGTTTTCACAGCCAAAAGCAGGCTCATGGCTTCAATCGGAGCGCTTAGTTTCAACTCAGCGGTAGTTCAATGTGCACTTTGTACCAATACCTGAAGTGATTGTGAAACCTTCATATTTCTACGGTAAACCCGCCATCGGTGGAATATTCTGCCGGCTTCCGTCTACCCCTCAACGTAAGAGGGATCGTATGGTTTTTGAGCGGAATCGTTAAAGCTTCCATTAGTGGTTCTTTCTAATTTTGTACTTACGCTGGCGCGGTGCCTTGCTACACCTTCCAGGATTGCATTGTTTCCCACCCTTTTGAGAATTTTCAGCACAATCCTAAGGTGCAGTTTGTTCCATTTTCGCAATTACACACCGGACAGTTCCTTATCGAGCAAGTGCTCTCAACGAGCTTCCTTGCTAAAAACACTGTGGTCCAAGCGAGGATATTCAACTTCAATATCTGTGATGCATTGATTCGCTGTCTCATTATTTCCCCTGCACCATCTTTCGGTTTTTGTTCATGTTTGGTTTTGGCACTACACCAGCGATGACCAAACGAGATTCGCATGTTTATGTATATGGAGGTTGTTTCGACACTATTTCAGCCCTACCCTGCCCAACCTTTTATTCTTCCGTCAGGCTGCACTGTCCCGGCGAATGGTATTCCCGCTTGTATTGTCTTTTGTGCCCCCAGTACGCGACTACATGTTGATCCGTCACATGCATACAATGTAAATGGATATGCGCTCTCCATTTTCGGCTGAAAAATGCCTCCCGTTCAAAGATTAAATTCCACTCATGGGGTGCAATATCCTTTAATTTGGTTACTTTAAGAGAAATGTAGATCTATGAATGGAACTTCTGTTGGTCTGGCTGAAATGGTTCATGGTAGAATTGCTTTAGAAAATGGGTTTTCCGTGGTGGAATCTGCAAGCACGAATTAAGTTTGTAATGCTATTCTCATGTTCTTTGGTGGTACTTTTTGGTGGCGGCTCTCCCATACGCCTCATAAATCAGAAACGAGAGATTCAGTTGATTCACTAGATGCGAATCAGCGTAGTTTGTCAGTTGCTTACAATATGGCGTTCAGGAGGAAAATAAGGTTGATAAAAACTCTGGAATGCGCTTACTACCCAAGTCGGACTACTCAGCAGTCAGCCGTCAAAGAGTTTTCAACAATCTCATGGGTATTTTGTTATTGTTGTATTCACTCTGAATTGTTCCTCTTCATCTCTCCGTGTCACTCTGATTGAGGCGTCACTCAGCGCCAATGTGGCTGACCAATGAAGAAAAGTAGCGTCGAAAACATTGTATTTGTGATCTTAGAACGCTTAACTCTTTTTTGATTGTTGCTAACATAGATCAGGATTGCTTGCATCAATCGTTGTGGTAGGTTTTCTCATCCTTTCGTCACGCATCTTTGTGTTTTCGGAATTATGTACGTGTGAATTCAAAATGGGTCCTAATCCTAATGAAATATGAAGGTACGGAGTTGAATGTAAGCAGAGATGATCAGAAAATACGGGTGACCTTAATCGTGTGCCTAGCACAGTATCATTTTGAATAGTGCACGTGAGTCAATCAGGGCCGCACAATGTGCTCATTACTCGGTCACATGTTTACAGTGATAGTGTATCGAAACGAGCGTGATAATACGTTGCTCCTTTCGTTGTATATCCGATGCCGTCGCTATTTTATGCGTACCCACAGGCCTGGTACCGTCGCATCAATCACATTTTGTGGCCGGTAATCAATGGTTGTACGTTCGAAATGTATATGTTTTTCTCTGTCTCATTACTCAGTCAAGACTTTCGTAGCTTCCTCGTAGGCCTGTTCCGTTTTGTTGTCGTGGAGTGGTGCACCAACATCATACTACTAACACTCACACTAATGCTAATCGTTTAACTATAGCGCCATTCCGGTGCCCAACTGCCATTCCTCCCGAGAGATGCCTCCGGGTTGCCTAAGCCTAGACAGGAGCAGTCCACGTGCCGGGGTTGGGTTCGAACCACGAATCTTCCGGTCACTAAATTCGCGTCTTAACCACTGAGCTATCTCGAACTTACCGTCATTCGGCTTTAGTTGAGGATCGTTTCGCACTGTACCTTTATGCTGTATTTTCAAGTATGCCTCCGAGCACGATTTTTTTAACGGTGACAGCTATATTGGCATTACTGGCTGTGTTGCCTTCGTGCGCAGTGAGGATTGCAACTCGACTGCCCCCAGAGTTTCGAGAAAAACAAAAGTTCAATACTTCAGTACAACCACACACAGAGTACTCTTGAGGCCATCTCACCCATGATGGTAAAATGCGTTAACCATTCAATTTTCGGTGTTACTTTCATCTTTTCATCGTAATGTCGATATAATTGGTAGTTACTTACTCTATCGCTGTGGCAGTTTCGCAAAATATGGGTAGCTTGGTTGTTGTTTTTTAGCTGTATGTGACACTTGGAAAAGAAACGTATGCAATTCAATTGCCAAGAACTGCCCACAAACCAACAATCGTTGTCGGTGTGAATTAGTGGTGGACTGCGTTAGGTATATCAGTATGCAAGGGATTCACACAGTCGCTACGGTTGAGCTTTATCTTGGTCACTCTTAATATGTGACCGATCTATTGTCTGTGTTTATTACTTGGACACACCGCGGTGGGTTGGAATATAGAATTGGGAAAACTGGGAACTAGTTTTCTGCAACCCTGATATTTTATGTGGAAACAGCACGAAGGTGGGTAACAACCACAGCGGAAGTAAACTGGATGTTATGCCCGAAATGAACCGATTTGTGGATCGGAACAACTATCATTTCCACTCTGTCCTGAGTCTTTCGATTGATTCTGTCCGTTCGTGCATTATAGCTACAGCTTTCAAATTTGCTGGTCAATTTATGTGCGTATTTTGCATCAATTTCTTGGCATGAAATGGCTCAAGTGGTTAGAGCGCGAATTTACTGACCGGAAGGTCCGTGGTTCGAACCAGACCTCTGCCTCTCGACTTCCCCTGTCTAGGCTTGGGCAACCTGGCAGTATCTACGCCCTCTTGCTTCCTTCGAGTGGCACGGCACCTAGGCACCGAAAGGGCGCTACAGCTGAACGATTATTATTTATTATTATGAGCAATCCACGTCTTCGACTCGATTGTCTTCCAGACTCCAATTCATTGCCATATTAACTGGGGATTTCACGAGCATACTTAGCTTTTGAACTGGAACTCCGGTTAAGGCATATACTCTGTCAACGGATTGTTTGGTCGCAACTAAATTCAAAAGCCCCATCAAACGCACCGAATCGTCGTATAGTTGCTACACTTGATGTTAGCTTTGTTCACTGAGCTGATTTAGCGGGACTGATCCTTGAAGAATTGTGAAGATACCGCGCGCCGTATTAGATTTTGATGTTTTCTATGGAGGAAAATGTTGGTAGCTCAGGTAACGTAGGTGGTCGTTGGCTTGTTCGCTGAGCTAGGCAATTTGATTGCAAACGTCTCATCACCACTGGAGGCGTAGTGGTGCGTATCGGTGGGTTAGTGGTTTTGTGTTGATGTTTCCGGGGAGGGTACTTATTTCGCACAGTCAAACGGTTATTTTTGCCTGCAAACATAGCCTCTCAGTGCTACCAAAGCCTAAAAACCTTTAGATCAACATAAAAGAAAGATTCGGCTGGGTTCCAGGTGAGTTTCCCATCAAAACCAAATTGGTATTCAGATGAGTAAATAAGTCAAATCTTTAGACCATTTCACACTGGTTAGAGCACGACGTCTCACCCTTTTTCATTAGTGAGGCTAGCTACTTCGTAAGAAAATCGTCGGCGCAGGCAGCCCAACGGTTCCACTGCTCGTGCCTTTGAAGGACTGGGACACCCCCGCCGATTGTCCGTTGGTTAACGTATTTAGTGCATGTATTGAGACGCAATGCTGCGTACGATTTCTCACGGGTGAACGAATGAAACCACTAGTTTAAACGGCCCCGTGTGTCTTGGTCTTTTAGAAATCGATCGAGTGACAGCGAATACTGTCTGGTTCGCACGTTGGCTGTGCGCAGCTTTGGGAGGCCTGAGAAGTGTCCGACAGTCTCCAAGATTGTTTTGGCTAGACAGCTGATGAGACACGAGAAGCACTGTCAGTATGTCTGAATGCGGCAAAACGAAATCGATGCGGTTACAGTTGTTGCTGAAAGCGTCACAAAACTGTATGTGGAAGAAGCTCTTGTGATATTCAGTGAGCCGATTTATCTGGTAATGGGTCATCTGTTGATGATACCGAGGAGTACGGTTATGATGGTGCTGAGGCTGCACTTCGGTTAACTACAACCACCGATGGTCGTAACGGACAACTCAGTTAGGGAGCTGGCAAAATACCGACGCAGTGCAGACCACGCTCATCCACGCGTAAATTTTGTTGCGTTCAAGTCGAAGTAGATGATAGGTTTGACGATGGTGCTGTATTCTCTCCCGGATGCGACCCCTTTGAAAAGATAAATTTGTCTCGGTCCTGCAAACTCGACCATCGGGTTGTTAAGCAAAGTGTCGAATACCCTTAACAGGGGAATTTTTTGACAACTCTAACCCTACTACTTCCTCATAATATAAGTTGCTACGTGAACTAAAATCGTTCAGCTCAGTCGAAAGGACGTCGTTGATCCCTGCTATATGGATGTAGAGTTATTAATGACTATTCACGTTTTGGTTGCAGCACTGTCGAAAGCTTTCTGCAGGCTGTCTGCTGAGGCTACAGTTTTAAGTCATGTGCGTCTCAGTTTGCTTACGCCAGAATCACACGAGTAAGTGTAGAATTGTTCTGCCCTGAAGCACCCTTCCAACTACACAACGCACAACGCAATTTTAATCCGTAAAATTCCCACCTGATCATGCTTCGGCATGAGTTAATACTTTGGTATCAAGAGTATCATGAGGACTCTGCTTTAATGGTATGCGACCATTCTGATAATTCAAACACGCAAAACAGAATGTCCACTATTCATGCCAGTCTTATCCACATTGGAACCCCAACCGTACGTTTTGTCGGTATCTGTATCCTCCTGTTGGATTACTTTCGACACTAGGTTATAGGACAGTTGACCGAATAGTTGCCATTCGGTTTTCATAGGATTCAAGTTTGATATATCGTAGACAACGTTTTTTACGTGGCGATAAGTCTGAGAGTGACCGACCAAACAGCTGAAAGGAAGATAGAATAAGAGACAACAACAAACGGATTTTGCCAAGAGTCACAGAGCACCTAATTTGATAAGCTTTCGTGTGACAGGTGAGAATTTGGATTCCTATTTATTTTTCTGTTCATATTTGTTCAGTTGTAGCACCCTTCCGGTGCCTAGCTTCCATGCTACCCGAATGAAGCACGAGGGCTGTGATACTGCCAATTTGCCCAAGCCTAGGCAGGGCAAGTCGAGAGGCAGAGGTCGGGTTCGAACCACGGACCTTCCGGTCAGTAAATTCGCGCTCCAACCACTTGGGCCCCATTTATAGTCCTAGCATCATGTTAATTTTCACTTGTGCGAAAATACTTTAAACATGATCACGTAAGTAGTATGGGGGACAAATATATCAAGTTTTCACTAGTCGCGATCATTATTACGACGGCTATTCCCTACACTCTCAGAATTATTGTTTTTTCCTTATGTCCACAGTGCCAGTTATGTACACATCATTTAGGACCGTAATTCTCTTTCCGTCTTTATTCAATATTTATCGACTGTCTAAGACAATGATGAGCATTCATTAGGCGAAGGGTCACTATCCGAATTCCGCTCATTCTCTTGCCGAGGGATAGCTTATACCGGTTTGGAAACCCGCCCTGATAAGGAGGAAGTAACAGTGGAACCACAACTGCTTCAACTATTGGTAGAAGTCTTACTTTAGTTTACTAAGTTCCCCGTGTCGTTCCTCTGCTTTTTTCGATTTCCACCAGTCAAAACCAATCACGACCCAACTACTTAGCCCTTCACAAAATGCCCCGAGTAGTGTGTACAAACTGCATGTTCTGTGGCCATCCATGCCTGCGCATAAGAAATCTGCAGATGTCTCCGCACCAGTTTATCTCTCATAAGCTCACTTTCTGTGTTCGTTGCTATGATCAGTCGTGAGCAGAAACTCACACCTGTCTTCGATATCTTCGTCACACTTTCTGGTTCAACTGCACAATGCCAAACTAAGCCCCTGCACTCAGAGGTAAAATCTGCAGTTGATCGACTGAGTTGCGGCTCGGCTATGTTTTTGTCTAAACTCACACTTCGCCAATCTGCTGTCTTCGTAGAATGACAACAATGCAGCCACATCAAGCCCTAGAGATTGGTTATGGTTGATGTTTTGATAATCCAAGTACACATATATGAATGTGGACTATGATCAGGCAATCTTCACCTAATTATCTCTATTAAGGGGATATAGAGGGCTCTCACAGCGATCCATAACAGTTTCTAGTGGGTTTTCTTTGGATACTTACGATGGAAACGAGACATTAAAGCGTCAATAACCAGTACTTTTGACACTGTTCATGTCAACAAAAATTATTTGGTCAGGGCGGTTGTCGAAAGTGGAAAATATCATATGATGAATTCATGGGAATGAGGATATTCACTTCGTTCTAATAATTCTCTGGTAAATTCAGCGCAGACAAAAATACGGAGAATAAAATAAACACTCAATCCGTAAAGATGTCTGTTGCTGTCGGAGATGCCATATCAGATAAAAGCTACTGTGTTTCCTATATGGAACGATGGGCATGTTGTTTTGTTCCGAGTGGGGAATTTTTCACTCTGTATCATTCTTATCTCTTTCATTTTCATCTAGCACCCACCTCCTCTATCTCCACCGCGTTCTGGCCCGTGTTCCGGTGTCCAGTTGGAGTCTTCTCGTTCCACCCTGCTAGTTTCTTCTCCAAAAGCAGTGACCACGGTAGAAGACCCGTTCGCTGCATTTTCTGTATCGTCTGCTCCTTCTGGGGTTACAGGTACACAGGATAATTTCTTTGCAGACTTTCCGTGGGGTACAGCACCTTCCATTCCCAGTCCAAATACCGCTCTAACGAAACCGTTCAGTGAATCAGCTTGCACTACTACATTTGATGTCTTGACTAACGCCCCTTTGAACTCTAAACGAAGTGGTTCTGTTTTCCCGCCAGCTACCCAAACTGGTGACAAGTACGCGGCTCTTGCAGAACTCGATGGTCTTCTAAAAAACGCGGTTGCGTCAAGTGCTCCGGTGCGCCCCGAATCTACGACTGTTTTTCGCTTTCCGGGCCCTTCTGCCCCCATTACCTCACCCAGCGCGCCGTTCGCGCTGTCTTCTGCTTTCCCAACCAGTACTTTCAGTTCAACCCAAATGAGTCAACAATCTCAGAACCCATTTGTCGCTGCTGTGGCGAACACTTCGTCCGTACCCAGACAGTACAGTGCCTCTAATCCTTTCACCAGTCCTGTTCCTCCGACACCACAATCTTTCGGCTCTCCCTTTACCACCGCACCAATCTCAGTTCCACCACTGTCGGCTGTCGTACCCACTCCGCGGAATCCATTCTTTTCAGACCACCAACTACGTGCGCAGTGGCCGAGCAACAGTACGAATCCGTTTTCGACAGCTGAAAAGTCAGGAACTTCTAATGGGAAGTCATCATATCCGTGGGCTTCGCACTCCAGTGGAGTATTTAACCCAAGTGACGGTTTGTCGACGGTGAGTTGTTCAACTAAATGCGTATCTTTCGTTACGCACACTACAGAACACCATACAAGCTCGTTAATGTTGATCTTGTCGTGGAATGCGGAGCTATAGTCTCGTGATCAAACTTCTGATCAAGATTCTTTATATCTTCGATCGAACCATTCGTTACTCCTACTACCTCGAAAACTGCCGGTTTATGTTCCATACACAACAATTATTGTCAAGTATAGGCATTTCACTGTCCTTGAAATTTCTGCTAATCTATATTCTTCAACCTCTGTTTGTCAAATTCCATTCAACTCAGTCCCATGATTCCGCTTCATATCATGCTCAGTTACCCTCAAGTCACACCACATGCAGTTCCAAACTACTTTATAGGTTTATTGCATCTCTTCTGGGAGAGTAAGGACATAGTGGCGAGACGCCGCATGATCTCAGCGCGAACGAGTTGATTACTCTGATAGCTAACTGAGGACCTGAGCACAAGCAAATTTTGACCACAGCCACATGTTCAGGAGGATGTCGAAAGTACGGAACCGCTCGTTTTATTGGCTGCACAGAACAGCGGATGCATAGTTGAACAAATAGCCCCACGAGAAGGGTTGATAAGGCAGGCAAATCCGTCTACTATACCGTTTCGCCATAGGGGATGCTCACGTTTCAAGCCAACTTAACCTGCTCTGTCCCACCTGCATTAGCGAATGGCATTCGAATCTACATTGGAGTGAAGATTGTACAGATCTAGTGCACGATATCCATGTTCACTATATGAGGAGTTTCTCGATGGTGAAATGCAATGCTCTGTGCTTGTGCTGTTGAACGATTCATTATCCATTGGGACAAGAGGTTCTGCTGTAGAATCTTTAGCGAAACAATGCCTTGAGAGTGACTGTTTGAACTAGTTCAACACATAACAGAACTGGTCTGCTTATCGACGTAGCTGTGCTTCAAAACAGGGTTTTCCAGGATCGCATACTTTTTGACGTTCACAAGGGTTCTTAGCGGCTCACTCACACCTGCCCGTATTGTGTTCAAACTTTTCTGTATTGAAAAGGCAACCCTGATTGAGTGATGTGGGTTGATTGCTTTCCATTGGATGAAGTAGTGGGGACAAAGTATGATAGTTTTCTTTTGTGCTCTCTTGATACATCCTATCGATTTCCATAGTTTTTGGAATCTTGTGAACAAAGCTACGGGAGTTTGTAGTTCACATTCGTGTTGGGACGTTTGTTAAAACACTCCAACATGCACCAGGAACACAGACTTTCTTGTCTCAGTGTTACCCTAGTCCGAACCCCGCTGCCACCAAAAATGATTGGGCGTGGAAAGTCATCAGTGTCATTCGTCAACTACGATTTCCCCTCTTGTTTCCCCATTTTTGTCCCTGTAAATATTTAGGCCATATTAAAAAGCAGTTTGTTGCGAATGGAGCAGTAAATTACCTAGCACTTTTGACGCTAACTTGGTCGTAAATCCACCACCATTACTTTCGAAATCTGGAGGGACTCGCGGTGCAGTCGCCTCTTCTTACAAGAAACAACCTTGGAACTAAGCCAGAATCGAAGTGGGTCTGAGGACTCCTTAAACACGAATTTTAGTATCATTTGCGACCGTTAGTTGGACATGTCGTATGTATTCCGCGCAACTGTGACCTTTGCCTGGTTGCTCACCTTCTACTTCACACCATAGTTTTATGAAATACTCGATGTTTTTTTTATTTGTGAAAGTGTATGACATTCTTTCTGAACATTGCTCGATTGTTCTCCACTTTTCCGGATGACTGCAATGGTTGATTTAAATTTCGACTACTTCTTTTTGTTTAAGGGTGCTGTCTAAACGCCACAGGGTGCAAGGCGGAACTTGATGTTCAACCAACAGGCACGTTTTTAAGCTCACTAGAGCCAAATTTGATTGCCATGCTTAGCTTTGATAGGGATACAGAGGAGGATAGGGACAGACTTTTTTGGAGTTTTCCATTGACAAAACCGTAGCTTGGTTGAGCAAACAGTGTGAACTGCGTTCAACCATACGTGCACGATAATTTTCTTGTCTCAGTTTATCCTGGATGGGCAGGATTCTGTCCATAATGGGTGGAGAGATTCACTCGCGATCATACGTGTTCACTTTTTTTTCTTTTTGACCTACGAAATCAAGCGAAGAAGTTGGATGCAATACTTTGATTCAATAAATGCTTGTTTACCTTTGTTTTTTTTTCAAGTCGTTCGGCTGTTTTACTTCTAACTCAGTGTTAGTTCATGATTTGTCAGCACGAAGTATTCAGATTTCCAAGCAGCAGTGAATAGCAACATAAGTTTCCATCGGCGTAAATGGGGGTTCATTGTAAAGATGGGTTTCTGTGTCTATAGACGTACTGGCTCTGTTGTTTTCACTTTGCTATACACAGTGCGGTTGAAGTCCTGTGATTTAGATTCACTGATTAGTTCGACTGCCTAAAAGGTCACGTAGCCTTATATCTCGTTTGAGTTCGTGGATTTACTATGATCCTTATTCAATACTAAACAATTCCGTGAGAAATGCTCCAATTGTGGCAGGTGAGCGGCTCTAGAGAATGGTTTGCAAGATGCAAATGTCCTTAACCGGTTTCTATGGAGCGGAGTTTGTTAGTTCCCCATTCGCAGTGCTCGCTTTAATTCAGATCATGTTGTCGCCCATTTTACGTTTTTAGTAAGTTTCTCAGGTAAACCCGGTACAAGTTCTGTAATTCATAGTTTAATATGGTTCTGCGGAAGCTTTAACCACGGTATCTTTCGAAAACATCACCCGTAATTTGAAGACGATGATCTCTGCTATGCACTCAACTGTTTAGTGTTCCTGAGCACGTAATTAATGAGCGTCAGAACCAATATCAGTCACTGTTTCTTTTCCATTTGACATGGTGCATCACTTTGGACTCGACGAAATTTGGTTAGCAGATCTTCGGTCCGTCGGTTGAGACGGACTGGTTTCCGGGCGGAGAAACTTTTTCAAGTCGGGATGTCCAAAGGTAGTGATCGCCAAAACAACAAGGCGGTTGTTTCAGCTAATGTGTAAAAGGCGGTCCTCTAAGCTATGAGGGATTAATGGGGGTTCACAGATTTCCTCGTTTTGCCGATTAGTCACATCAGGCGACCAATGATAGCTTAGTCGGTCGAGTCATAACTACTCGCTTTTTGTTCCTGTCAGAATACATGACTTGGCCCTAGCCAATCCATTTGTGCATGGTTGTGATGGAAACTGGGAGGCCATTTCTCGGCAAATTTTCAGGTTTTGGCAAATAGGGAAACATGAACAGGAACGAGACAATTGCCGCTTCATGATAAGGGCCCATCTTCTGTCCTACTTTACTTTTCCATCGAATTGGCAGATTCATTTGAGTTGAAGCAGCCAATTTTATGCTCATCCTTATCACTGTGTGTCGAAGCATGTGGCTTAAGCTTTACTGCTGGTACACATTAAAACACAAACTAGCGATCAACTGGATTTTTTTACCAATCAACCAGGTCGGTCGATTGGCAAAAATATAGAAATGGATTCAGATTTCCTCGTTTGACAATCTCCGTGGAACATGTGACTTGACCTCGACTAGTCGGGTAATATGCACTGGTGATGTGGAACGGGACGAGGTAATATTTTAGTGGAGTCGTCCAACACCACCGTGTGGATAGATAACTACAACTGAGACTTCGATCGGTAGTTGTGGCTCTGTGTACAGCTCATGCTGTGTTTGCAGGTCAACCGGGATCTTTCAGTTATTCGGTCAGTGATATCACGACGGAAGTTGAGGGTCTCGCCTTATGTATCATCGACCGTATAATATACCGGAAAAAATACCTAGATCACCTGGCGAAGCATTGTGAGGTGTGATTTCGTCAGCCATCTGTCCGTATGGCTCACTCGGTCCGTTCATTTTGTGCTGTAGGGGGAATCGTGTCTACCCAGTAGATCAACTGGCAACTTCGACTTTATCCACTTGAAATTTGTCATCAGAAACCGGGAAGTAACCGGTTTTGTTAATATATACCTTACAAACGGTTCATCCAACTTTCGTCCAGTGAAGTATATTGTCACGTTTGCAGATAACCATCATACGGTCCTTTCACAATGTATCCCACTGTCTTGGCGCCAGTGCTGTATGTTATTCGGGGGGTGTTATATATTATGTTGGAGTACCATTATCTTCGAACTTGAATAACTTTTCAAACCAGTTTACGAGGCAGGAAGTTATGCTCTGAGAGCACAATGGCGCTATTGGTTTGCGATTTTTTGTTCGCCTTGTCCGAATGTCATGCTTCCATCCGCTGCTCAAGGACGGATTCCTACTGGGTTCGTAAACTTTTGGATTCGAACTCAAATACACATGCAGAACATTGGTTTTCTCATCGCTTGCAATCTGAGGTGGGCTTAGGCAATTTACTTACTTCGAACGCTGACATATCATGTCTCGTTATTGATGTGATTACAGCTTTTTCATTTGCATTTGGTCGGATACGTGTAGTTTGTTTCTACAACAAAAAGATAATCGTACAAATCACTTGAGTACTTGAGCATACAATCCATCTACATTGTTTTACCATGTTTAACATCAATTTCACCCCATTATTCACACTAGTTTCTACATTTGTGTCCATCCCCGCATACAGAACGGAGTATTCCCTTCTACAAAAACGGAAGCCCCTTGTCCGAACCCACAGACGGTTTTTGATCAATCTTTCTCCGATTTTGCTCCATTCGGACGTTGATTGCCGATGTATACATGATTGAATATCTATATCCATCTTTATTGATCTGCCGTCGTTTAGGATTGCGGTTATTGTACGAGACTGTTTAATCTCCCCCTGTCCACTTTCCAGTGCGCTAGTCGTCCCGCTAATGGAATGATCCATTGCATTTGTACGTGTTCCAGATTCCTCACCCAGCTTACACAGCCCCACTCAACCATTGGCTTCATTAAACGACCACACCTGGTTCGAACCAACACACACACCGGTTCCCCTGCTTTCCATCCACTCTACATTCACTGTGGTCTTTATCCTTGTGATGATTTATCCTCCGGCCATACTCCGAATAGTCATTTTAATTTTTATCATTTTATTCAGTGTTTATTTTTTCTCCTTTTCGTATATTTTGTGGGTGCCTGTTCCGATGCTGTTGCTGTCTCTCTGTCAACACATCCGTCGCTCACATTCACCTTGTTCATGCAACAGCGAACATTCCACGTCTGAGTGTGTACTCCGACCGATGCTCCGTTGCACGCCTTCCATCCACTCACGACGACGTTTCCCCACTCCTGATTATTTCTGCACAATGAGAACAATTTCATTTCCAGCGAAGTCACGACGCTGGTTGCGTAGTTTTACTTATGTCCGTATGTATTTTTGATGCCTAGTTTGTCTAGCTTGTGTCGCCTGTCAGAACAGTTTCTATGTTGTCGCAGACTTGCAAAGATACAATGCCAATATCATCGCATCTCAGTTAAGCCTTGCCTGTCCATTCTAATGGCTTGATTTGTCGCTGGTATCTCAGAGTACTATCCTCATTCCCCATGGTGTGAAGTTTCGCGACTTGAATTTATCTCGTCCTTTCAGATGAGGACTTAGGTGCCGTTCGGTGTTTGCTGCATCGCATGGGTTAGACGAAATTTGGAAGGGGTGGAAAGCCTGAGCGATGATTGGTAAAGCGCGATACATACACCTGACGTCGGACAATATGTACCTTTAACTTACCCGTTCGTGATGCACACTTGGCCATATGCTTCTGTAGACAGGAGGTTACTGGGTACTTTATAGTACCACCTAGGTACGCTCTGCCGAATCGACACGAAAGCGGAACATAGCCCCTGGTGTTATTAAGGGTGATTGCCATATTCGTTGGTCTTCCGAACAGTAGTACCGCTTGAGCCAACGTGCGTAGAGCCCCTTGGAGACGAACTGACGGGTTTGGTTGTCCCACCTGTATATTTTGTGGCCTCGCGCATTGCTCTCCGTGAGTCTTCAGCCTCAACTCCTCTTGGATGACCATTTGTTACTTAAAGCCTTTTTCGGGCCATTAGGTTCCATTTTTGGGGGTGACGTGGTTCAGCATTTCCAAATTTGCATGAAAAGTCATGATATCCTTAAAGTCGGTAGTTGTTTAAGATGAAATTCAATTAGTTCGGTTGGTCTTATGTCTACGAAAAAGTGTCACCGTCATTTCTCTTGACCAATCTGATCCGAGGTGAAGTGTTTTATATCCGCCAAATTCTCGTCTCGTCCTTGCTTAGGTGTACTTCTCTAGCACAAAGTTTGTTCTGCTGAGTGACAGTCTTGACGTTTTTGTCCGCTGTCCATGAATCAATAAAACCTGGTTCAAGTACTTCCATCTTACCCCCGAAAAAATACACAGTGACAGTTTCGATTACTGGCAAACGCGTCTGGAAGTACGACATTCGGACTTGTTGTCAGCCCATATACTACTGGAGCCTGAGCATAACTAAAAGTTCAGGAGCATCTACCCATTCATATGGAGCTAAACGGACAATAACCGAAGTAGCCAGTTGGACTATTTGTGCATACTCTTCGTCCACGTATTTGCTGTTGACCATACAGACCGTCCTGAATGGGGGGAAGGTGTTCATTTGTAAGGAAGTCCCCTCTTAGTTCTAGTGAAATTCGGCATCACCGTAGTAATAACTTACGACACTTATTCTTATCGTCTGTAAAGCATATGTTACCCTGATTTCAAACGCAATGTTAATAAAAAAGCAAACACCTGTTACTTATAAGAAAGTGGCTTGTGGGTTAGATCCAGAACAAGGCGGATGTGCCCAGTCAAAGTAGACGATTTCACCCTGCAGGCGTTTCGCTGCAGTGGCCCGCGAATGTCTGCATCCTCGCTCCACTGAGAGCCGCGTGTTGGTCAACCAAGTGAATCTGGGGCAACAGTCATCTGGCTTTGAAATTCTGCTGAGTAGCAAGCAAAAAGTCCACGTTGTCAGGAACGTGTGGGCCATTGTACAGCTATATCGCACTGTCGACATTGGCAGTACAACAACTAACACTTATTTGCATTCCAAGCAAGAACGAAAATAGGCGTCGGTGAAGCAATGAAAACCATGGGCACTGCGTCACGTGGATCTCACCATGTGAAGCACAAACCTCACATCTGTGAGCTTAAACAATCGAGTGAGGGGGAGACATTCCACCATCCGTGACTTGAGTAGAAACAAAGGAAGAGTGAATAAGGTCACATGTGGCTTTCAGTCATGAGAGTTTGTTGGTCAGTAATTCCGTTCTTCACTACGGTTGATGTGAACGGCTTTGTCGTTCGACCCGAGATCAATGCCGGGTGGCATAAAAGAAAAACCACACCGGAGGAAATTTTCCTTCAAGATTCGGTGTGCCACTTTGTATCACACCTCGAAGGGAAACTGGTTACACCCGGTGACAACAACGAGACAATCAGAGATGCCGTCAGGACCATCCTTTTAAGGAATGATTCAAAAAGTCACGCTATATGCGCGGGAAATTTATTCGTAACTCCAAATTACTGCGGCTTTTCGGCACGCTGGCCATGAATAGATTCTAATCAAACCTAATCGCGACTGCTCCACAATTCCATCAGCTCCTTATTCCTGTGCAAATTATGCTGGTACCAGTAACTTGCTTTAGCCATCGTGCGGTCGAGGTGGGTCTGCATCCACAAACGGCACTGAATTGAGATTGGTCGTTCATGTGGACATCTTGTCACCCTTAGTGTTGCGAAATGCCAAACTGTTGTCTCTTTTGTCGAATTCGGTTGATGTTACGACGATCTACTTGATAGTCATCAACCCCTAATTGTTTTCGGTTTCCCTTTCTCGGAACCTTTATTATGACCTATCTGGGTGTGACCACATCCAAGTAATCTTATTTGCTCTCCTTCCCTGTTCAAGCTGTCCTTAATAGAGTTCGAATCCTAGCCGTTTAGGCTAGAGACTGAGAAGACATTCTGCTCCCCTCAGTTGTATTCTCCATCAATGAATGTAATGTTTCCTTCTACATTCTGAAATCTTACTGCCAAATGGCACCACTAGAATGACTCTTGAGGTTTAGTGAAGTCTCAAGTATTGACTTAAATTCGCACTAAGAAGGCATTTTGATGTTTGTTCTAGCTTCACCCAGCTAGTTCCTTTCGATATTTTGCACGCTCTCTACCAGTTATTCGTTAGGATCACTTCCACCTTATACACCCGTTACAGGTTCTAACTTCTACCGGCCATAATTTCCACCTACCCAACCAATTGACTCTCTAGCTAATATCATGGCCCTGTGTAATAGTATCTCTCCTGGCCTACGTGTTTAGAGGGTCCACTGTTGAATGTTTCAGGTAGTTTTCAACGTGAGTTCGACGACGTGAATACGTATTCCTAAAGCTCCACTTAACTTGACTTGGATTGGTCAAGTTGTTCTTTGTTTTTCCTATCATTACTTTTCACCTCGTAGATTGTTAGCTAACGATTTATTTCATTTGGTGAAACTGAAATCCAATGGCTCTTTTCGGCTCCATTTGAAGTCTGCATTGACTACGGGTTTGCAGACCGCAGGTCACCATTCTTCCTAGCGCATGCAGTTAGTAGCAAGTAGACTGATAGAATTCATTCAAAAGCTGTAAAAATGATGTTTCATTTGCGAGCCAATCCGTACTTTGATTTTGCGCTTCATGAAATTCCGTGGATCTTATGTTGAACCTTCTCTCAAATGAAAGCACTTCATTTATTGAATGTTTAGGGATAGAACCAAAGGTGCTTTTCTAACCTTCTCTCAAATGAAAGTACTTCATTTATTGAATGTTTAGGGATAGAATAAGAGCATTTTTGGACCAGCACCACTCCAACTCGACTTAATTTTCACGGACCTTGCCCAAGTGGAGTTTTCACGCAGTGTAGTGCGGCAGTAGTGTCAACTTGTTTTAGATGAGTCAAGTGGTGCGGTTTCAGTTTTGGTGTGAGTCCATTGTGTCTGCTCATTTCTGACAAATGTGCCATGAACGCCATTCATGCGTTATCGATGCCCCTCCATATGCACCGGTATTCCAGAATGCTATTCCTCTAAACCCTCCTATTTTGTTTTTACTAGCATTGCCTTTGGATTCTGGTCATGCCTATAGCTAGGTTTCTCAATGCGGTAAATAAAATGTACGCAGTCAGTCTACGCAAGATATCCTATTGGCCTACTCACAAACTGACTGATTTTCACCTTACCTTTTCAGTTTAGTGGACACACTTTATTAGCATCATCACCGGATAGAATATCTTACAAGCAGTTGTCTTTTTGGTGGTTTGTTTGGAGAGAGGCTTTGGCTTGCTAATTGGGTTCAAGCTAATTGGTGCCTATGAGAATCACGTCAGCGCTATGGGAAATAGCTTGTTTTGGTCTTCATTGATTTGATGCTAATGAATGCAGAATGTCACGAGTAGTGTACCAATGTGGATCGCTTAACAGACTATCTTTCGCTTGCAGATAAATGTGTATGTACACTGGCCTGACATCTCTGCTATACAATCGATTCGAGTTACTAATTCAGTTCGACCCTACCTCCAGACAAACTTAACTGACCACACACTTACAATGTTGGCCATCGAGATTAAGGAAAAGCTGATACTTTGGTGTTTTCTTATTTAACTTTCAATCAAAATAAGAACAGTTCGTTTGGTCATGTTGAGATTTCATACAAAAGAAAACTAAAAGTATCAGCTGGAATGTAAAACTTATATTGTTTGGGTCTGTGGATAAAATCTTCTCTTGGGATTAGAGATTTGGATTCGTAACCATGTCGATGAGGTCTATACAGTTTGTATTAAGAAACAAGTTTTACTAGGAATGTTGTGGAATGTAGGTAGCTCGGGTGCGCTGTTCGGTTGTTGGTCTGTTCGCCGAGCTTNGTCAACCCACTCAAACCTGCACTGACGATGTTACCTCGATTGGTGATGAAACGTTTGCAATCCAACTGCCAAGCTCAGCGAACAGACCAACAACCAAACAAGTTTTACTAGTTGACGACAACTTTACACAACGGAAACGAAGGGACTGAGTTCATTCAATTGATGGTGGGTCTTTGAAAATCAAACCGATACAACGTTCATTAATTTATTTACCATCATTTTAACGGTGGTAGCCATGCGCTATCCCACCTTAGTGCTCCCACTGGACCTGTTTTTTTTGGTTAATTTCACAGACACACGTTAATTTACCCTGGTCGCTGAACTTACTTAACCGCTTCTCTTAGAAATGATAGTTTTCCTGTAAGGTTAAAATATTCGTGAACACGGTTGGATCGTGGAACGCGTAGAGGAGACAGACCACAGAGATCTCAGTCTGCATGATTACGCTTTGGTGTACAATCGAATGGGTTAGTAAGTATATATTGACATTAGTCAACCTTACCTTAGAGTAATGTTTGATCTTAACGGTACCGTGTGGACTCGGTTGTCTCTTGACTT